ATGACGACCCACCAGACAAGAGACAGCATGAGACCACCCACAAGATTTTCAATGCCTTAAGGATAAGAATTTTATTCAATAGTAGTTAGGGACACGACTAGGTTCTTAATTTTTGTCCTCTTTGTATAAAGTGTTGTCCTTTTCAGATTGCTTTACGTTTCGTCGAACGATGGAATGAGGCAAACTCACGACGTTCTGCAAATGAACGATGGAAATATATAGCTGCAAAACATAGTTGTCAAAAGAAAATAGAAGATTTCTTTAAAAAATAAATACTTCCTTAAAAAAATATTTAAAAAATCCTTAAAAAATCTCTTAAAAATACTATAAAAAACAATGATATTTTTAACCGAAATTCTTGTTATCCGAAACGGCTTCCCCCACAATTATTTCGGTTAACAGAGGTTTTACTGTACTTCAATTGCCTTATATTTGTTGCCAAAACTTAAAATCAAAACTTGATGTTATAGGTTTTGAAGATTAGGTTTTAACAAGGGAAATTCTATTACGACTGGTCAATGAAAGTGACACATTTTATTAATCTCATGAGAATCTTAAAAAATGGCAAAAATTGCGCAACGTTTATTTAGTTAATATCTTTATAAAAACTGACTTCATTTGCGGCAGAATATAAAAATTGCGTACAAAAGCACTCTTCACCTTAAAAACGCATTTTGAATTTTGTCGATAGGTGACCAATGAAAAGATATCGAATTTTTACCATTGAGTTGATACAAATTTTATTTAAAATTGATTTGGTACGTGTAACTGAGGCGCGCTCAAAATCACCTGTCGCTTTAAGCATTGTTTCTGAGAGAACGTTTCATTCTAGTTTTATTTAAAGTGCTAGTTTAAAATTATCTCAGCTATATCTTTTATTTGAAACATTTTTTCTACGGCGTTCAGATTTAGAATAAATCGATTTTTTCCTTCCCTTTTTAGGGAGAAGCCGGGGGTAAAAGTGGTTAACTTTTTTTGCATCTTTTTGGGATTCAAAAATTGACGTTCTCAGCCAAATTTAGCTTGTTCGTATGATTTTTAGAGTTAAATTCTCGGACGACCGAACTATTTGTAAATAAGTCATTTAACTTCCTTTATTACAACCAGAATTTTAAGTATTTATATCTTACTTGAGTAAAAATATAGGAAAAACCAAAATACGATATTTCTATATGATAAAATTAAATCCTCTACTGAATTTACTCCCAAATATTTTAAATTAATTTTAGGAATAGAGTACGAACAAAAAACAGGGACATTATAATATTACAGAAAATTATGGTTGTGTTATTTCATCTATACTCACATCACTCTCCTTATCGGAATGGTTTTAAAACATTTATTAAAGCAACTTAGAACCTACTAACTTAAAAAAAAAACTACATTAAATAATTTTAATGCAGCTATGATCTAAACTTAGTACTTAGCAATTTCTCTTTATAGATAAGTAAGTAAAGATTATGAGTATTTTTGCATTATATTAAATACAAACAAGCAGTTCTTGAAGAGTCAACATTATAGTTCAATATATTCAGGCACAACAAAATAGTAAGATGGTAGTGAAGGAAAGTGGGGTGAAAGGAAAACTTCTCGAAGCAACTAGATGAATAAATTCGAAAGTAAAGACATCATTGGCAAAAGAAAAAAATAACAATGCCCATATCAGGGATGTACTACGCTCTACGAGGAAAGCATTTTTCATCGAATGAAAAAGTCCTTGCAGCCGTAGGTTATTTTGAACACAGTCGCATGAAACTGTATGAATGGAATACAAAGATTTAAGAATCTATGGAAAAAGTATATTGAACTTATAATAAAACTATAGGGGAGAAGAGGGAGACTTGATCCCACCGTTACATTTTTTCAGATAGCTCTTTTAACAACCAATCTAGAACCTTGATAATTTAGTGGAACATTACAAATTTATCACAGTTTTGGGTAGTGTACACCCGAAAAATATACTGCTAATAAAAAACGAGTTTTTGTAGAATTTCGTAACATTGAGAAACTAATCATGTCTCCCCGTACTCCGGGAGACTTGATCCTTGTGTATGGGAGACTTGATTATACCTTTCCAGATTTACGATATTAAAATAAAACCAAAAATTGGATGCTGAAAACTAACTTTACTCAGTCATGACTTATAACAAATAATGTTATTAAAAATATATAACACTTTCTGGCAAAAAACTATACTGAAAAATGATAAAAGAAAAAAAAATATTCTCGAATATTGAACATCCTTAGTGATTTGGGAAAGACAAAACATCCTATGCGCTTACTGTAGCTCCTAAAAGTCGGGCGTGGTACCTTTTTAAAATTTGGTCACGTGGGACTTCACCCATGTCTTCTTTTTCTGGCCACTTAAAGGTTTTTTCATCCCTTTTTTGGGCAAATTTGATTTTAAAATCCTCGTTCTTTTTTTCCATTATCTGTCCTACGTATCGATGGACTAAGTTTCTTTCGGAGACAAAGCTGACAATTACCCAATCTTGCACACTCAACTCAAACTCGTCACCTTCTGCTTCCGATTCACATTCACTATCTGTCTCTACTTGCATTTCATCATTAGGATCATATTCAGACTCTGACGATGGTAGTATAATGTCACTGCCCCCCGAACTTGAAGATTCCCTCAAATCCTTAAGTTTTTGTTTAGTTATTCTTTTTAGGGCTCTTATTTTGGCCCTTTGCTCTTTTTCTAATTTTTTCTCTTCTTTAGCCTTAACTTCAGCTTCAAGCGCAAGTTTTTCTGGTGTTGCTGTGAGAATTTTTGTAGTTGCTCGCTTTCTACCCTTTGCTGAAGTCCTGGGCCCGGCTTTAGGGTGGGGTCTAATCATTTCTGGGCTAGTAAACGTGGCAGAAGGGAAAGAATGGTTATTGTGCTCTTTTGATGTTTGTTGTAGCTGTTCATTTTGTGAAGTATCTCCATTTACAGAATGGGATCTAATTATTTGAGGTGTGGTGAAAGTACCAGTAGAAGTAGAAGGCTGATTTTCGTCCTCAATTAGTGTTCGTCGTAGTTGTTGATTAGGTGAAATGGATCCATTTGAGGAATGTGATCTAATAATTTCAGGGGCGGTGAAAGTGCCAGTAGAAGTGGAGGGTTGATTATTGTTATCTATGGCTGGTTGTGCAACATCAAACTGGGATAAAGTGGATTTGTTTTCCGGATCTTCGCGATCAGTAACATACGCCGACATAAAATCTTCATCGGTAAAAATATTGGAATTGAAAGGCCATATACCCGTAACTCTGAATCCACTCTCAATATTACGTGGAGTAAAAGCTAGGGGGAAAGCGTAAGCTAAGCATCCTCCGACTTCTTATATTGTAATTGTGCTTCCTGGGTGCGCCACCATCCAATCATCACAGGCAGTATTATAAAAACTCTTGAGAGGGCCAAATATACTCGTGTCTAACGCCTGGACCTTATGCGACGTATGTGGTGGTATGGTAAGAAGAACTATTCCGTGTGCTTTGGCATACGTTATGGCTTCCAGACTAACGTGGCTATCGTGATTGTCCATTATGATTAAAGATTTATTGTCGGTAGTCGCCTTTACATGTTTTTGAAAATGTTCCAAAAATTTGACGAAATACGCCGGTTGTCCCTGGTGGGCTATGATCAATCATGCGATCTTGCCAAAGTTTTCGAGGAAAAACCAAAAAAGGCGGTATATGATTTCCAATTGCGTTGATTGCACCACAAAGAGTTACTGTTGGTCCACGTTCCCCTGACGTAATTTTACCAACCTGTTTTGCACCTTTGCATGCAATAATCTTTGGCTTATGGACAGTTAAAAGGCCAGTTTCGTCTATGCTCTAAGTTGCTTCTGGTCCAATTCCATTGCTTTCAAGAACTGTCTTTAAATTTATGAAAAATTTTGATACATTGTTTCTGTTGAAGCTAGTTGCTCTAGTAAGACTGGTTGCTTCCGGAGATCGTAGTGATAAGGTCTTCATTCTCTTCAGAAATCCGTATAACCAGTCGTAACTGGCTTGCTTATGTTTATTCCACGAAGCAGGTATTTTTTTATTATTTCTTACGGCAAAATCGTATGCTAGTTCTTTTGCTTGTTTGATTGTAAGGCCATGGTGTAATTTGCTGGCAACATCTAAATAATCTTTAAACATATTTTCCTCTGCATTTGTAAAAATTTGAGCCTTCTTGTAATCAGGATAATAGGTTATTTCAACATTTTCAGAACGTTGTCGGCGAACGTATCTTTTTAATGTCATAACATTTATTTGATAACGACTTGCCGTTCCCTTGAGAGACGTTCCGTTATTAATAACGTCTACTACAGCTTCTTTTAACTTCTGGCTGTCGACTGGTGTTCCTTTCTTTGCTCCTTCCCTCCTTTTGTATTGAGGTGGCATATCTATAAAATAAAAAACACTCATCTATAAGGAGTTTCTGGGAGACTTGATTCCGGGATCACATCTCCCAGATAAGATGTAATCAAGTCTCCCCCAAGACGCCATTTGAATATTTTTGTCTATAAAAATATGACGACAAACTAGAACTCATTGCAAAATGTGCAAAACGTAAACTGAATGATTATAGTGTTAAATAAAAATTATACGAAAAACTCACCTTAACGAATATTAAAGAAAATCAACTTGAAATAATTCTGAAAACACTTCTCGGTAGGGACAAAAAACTTGTAATAAACACGTGCTCTTCGTTGTGGATTCTAATACAAACTAAATTAAATGGGATCTTCAGACATACTAACAGCTACGCTTTGTTGCCGGCTTAATAATTTTAGGCTACTTATTTACTGAAATTTTAAAGAGTGATCAAGTCTCCCTCTTCTCCCCTAATAAGAACAAAATCATTTTTTGAAACCTAAAATTGTTTGTACTTTTTTGTTTCCACTCCACTCTATTTTAATATTTTTTAAATATACTACACAGTGGATATTAAATCTAGTTGCCTTAGTAAATGTTATAACACACATTTCGAATACTACTTGTTGGTTCAAATATCTCACCCTTCCATCAACGGGGTCCTGAAAAGAAATATTTATAGAAATCTATATTTAATTTGTCACATTCAAATAGGTTAGATAATTATAAGCAAAATGGAGCACAATGCATTAAAATAATCATATATTAATAGCTTAAAATATTTAATACTCTAATTGGATCGTTGTTTTTAAACATCATACAGACAATACAAATACATTTTTGGAACTCTAATATTGTGTATAGGTATGTACACAAACTATTAATCCTTGTGTACTCTTATTTTTATCCATTCTATTTTGTTTATTTATTGGTATTGATTAGATGAACGGGAACAAATAGTGCGAACAGTGGACAAGTCACATCAGTAAGCGTTTAGAAGAGGAACTTCCACGACAGCCGGGTAGCATCAATAAGCGTTCTAATAAATTTACTTGTTTTAATATCAAAATAACGCTTATTGAAGATAAGTTGAATATAATTTATTTATGTTATATTGTATTATAGTATATTCAACCAACCTGAAGAGGATGGATCGACCGAAGAGGACCAGTGGGAAGACGATCAAGAGAGACCAAAACTTAGGTATCAAGATAACATAGAGGATGATCTAAATTCCATCGGAGTTAAAGCATGGAGAAGAGTTGCCAGAGACAGGGGCAAATGGAAGATTGTTTTGAAGAAGGCTTTGGCTCATGACGAGCTGTAATGCCACTGAGAATGATGAATACGTACCGACCGCACAACCGGAGCAAGCAACTGAGAATTTCAGATTTCAGTTCAGTCGATAAATTAATATCTACTAGTATGGAGTCGGTGGTAGAAATGAGAGGAGAGAAAGACTGGTTCAGTTTGCACACTACCAAAACATGCCAATTGCAAATACATTCTTTGTTATATAATGTAAAGTAAAAGTAAAATAAAATTAATCACAAAACCAAGAGTAATCGGTATAAATATTACCAATCTAAAATACTTGTAAAATCTAAAATCACTACCAAAGGACAATTTCTGAAAGAATACATGACCAAATCGACAGCTCTCAATTAATAGAAATCATCCTTGATAGTGCCAAAGAAATCGGAGGTCCGCAACGACAAAATTAAAATAGTAAACTGTCTGATAAAACTAAAATAATGCTAAAACAAAGAAGGGATATGAAAGTAAGTAGCAACATGCAAAGAATACAATACACAGAACTTTGTCAGACAATAAGGAAAAGTATTAAGAAAGACATAAGTAAATCGTTGCTCTAACAAACGAAAACACCAGAATTACAGACAGTAATGAAATAATACAACTCGTAACTAAATTTTACAGCGTATTATACAAAGCCTCTGACACACTTGAAGAATTAATCAGTGACCAAGAAGATGTACCAGAAGTCCTTCCGGAAGAAGTAGAATCAACAATTGTAAACATGAAAAGCGGTAAAGCAGCTGGAATAGATGGTACAACAGTGGAACTGCTTAAATACGCTTTCAATAAAACCTGGAAAATCTCAGCAGGCATAATTACGAACTGCCTAAGATCGAGATGCAGACCAAACCACTGGAATACAGCAAACATAATTCTCATTCATAAGAAAGATAGCAAAGAGGATATTAAAAATTCTTCTTCTTCTAGTTCCATGACCGTTATCGATCGTTGGATATCATGTTGGCTACCATATTCGCTATCGTGACTTTATTGACAGCAGCTCTAAATAACGATGTAGTTGATTTTCCATACTATTGCCTTAGATTTTTCAGCCATGATGTTCTTCGTCTACCAGGACCACGATTACCTTGGATCTTTCCCTGAATGATCAGATGTAAAAGATCATATTTTTCAGGGTGTCTCATAATGTGACCGAAGTATTCCAGATTGCGTTAAGTTATATTAAAAATTACAGACTGATAAGTCTACTACCAAATGAAATACCGCTACCATTAACCTTCATAGATTTCGAGAAGGCTTTCGATTCTATATATCCCAAGGCAGTAATACAAGCTTTGGCCAACCAAGGTATTAACAAACCGTACATAGAAACTTAAGCAAATATATACAGATAAGCAAAAGCTAAGGTAAAAATGAAAACACTCCAGAATTTTCCACTACCAGAGGGGTCCGACAAGGAGATGCAATATCACCAAAGCTCTTCACTGCATTTCTAGAAGATATATTCAGCAAAATGAACTGGCAGAACAAGTTAATATCCATTGATGGAGAATACCTCAGCCATCTAATATTTGCAGACGACATCGTTCTGATTGTCCTGCAGAACTACAAGAACTTATAAGCGGTCTAAATGCAGCAAGCAATGAAATTGGCCTAAAAATAAACTTGACAAAAACAAAAACCATGTACAACGAGCTAGTCCATGTCCAAGATGTAATAATAAACAACACTGCACTTGAAACGACGAGTATGTATACCTAAGACAATTAATAGATAAATCTGGCTCCTTACTTCCAGAAATTAACAGAAGAATTAAACTAGCTTATACATCTTTTGGTAGAAATGCAGTTATATTTAAATCGAAGATGCCAATCAACCTGAAGAAAAAAGCATTCGATCACTGTATACTGCCAGTATTCATAATCATGACATACGGCTGAGAAACTTGAACACAAAAGAAAGAGATAATATCGAAACTCAAAGTCACTCAGAGGTCAATGGAGCGATGTATGCTAGGTATAACAAAGAGAGATCGAAAAAGAATAGAATGGATCAGAAAGAAAACCAAGGTTATTGATGTAATCCATAGAATTAAATCTTTAGAATAGCAGTGAGCGGGGCATTTAGCAAGAAGAACTGACAATAGGTGCTCCACTAGAATTACACTGTGGTATCCAAGAGGCTTCAAGAGACCAAGAAGACGTCCAAATTTAAGATGGGACTATGACATAAGGAAACAAACCGGTACAGCATGAAATATGTAAGGGAGGCTACACCATAATCTTTAGAATATGCTGAGAATGAATCTATAGTGAAGTCGTTTTACCCTGTCGTATTTCGGATTAACGCCCGAAAAATAATTTATGACTCTAGTTACAGCAACTGTGTTATGCTTTCCCTTTTCTACCTGCTTTGTGGTACCGAACCTCCTACTGGTCGGCTGTAGTACTTGAGGATAAATAAAGAGAACCGCTGACTACCTGAGGCAAAACTGAACAGACACTTTCGTCTTTGTTGAGAACTCCCAGCCTTGACCGACTGGGAGAGACCAACGCTTCGAACGTGTCAAGCGTGCCCTCGTTGCGTAGCGCCATCTAATTTAGAAGACAGAAAATAGACAACACTCTGTGTCTTTGAACTATTAGAGAACATAATAGAAATGTTTGTCTTTTCTCTCTATAGTGCCATGAAGAATCTGCTAAGAAATTAAAAACCATGCGAAGCTATGGTATGGAGGTAATTATTTTTGATAATAAATAGAGATGAAAAAATCTCGAGTTCGACAAAAGCTATTAACATGCGGTTTGCGTCATTTTGTTACGAATTTAATCCAATTCTAATATAATTCACAATAAATAGGTGTTTCCATTAAACATTTTGAAAAAAAAAACAATTTTAATTTTTTCAATTCGAAAATACCATCTACCTATGACAATTAAAACTAAATGCAATTATTTTATAGATGTAAATTAATTCATCCAAACTCTTTCTAATGACACTAATTTCGTTAAAATCGGTAGATCCAAACCAAAGTTATAGGTATTTATCCACAAATACTTTCTCACTCTCCCCCACCCTTTATTTGAAAAAATAAAAAAGTACTTGAACAACTTTGTACAGAATTTAGGACTCTTTCTAGTTTACTTATTTAACACTTGGTATAATTGGGCATATTTCCCAAAAAATTGGTTTTCAAAGTTTTCTTCACAGGTTACGCCCTCTAGCGGTTAACCCAGAAACTTAAAAGTTATTTCCAGTGATTTCTCTTGGTTACTTTTACTAAGGAATTTTTCTCCTAAAGTTATAATATGCATAGTTTATGATATATAGCCGAGAGATCGGCTTATTGGATTTATTCGATAATACTCTTTATGGAAACTTATACCTTACTAGATTCCTTTATTAATAATTTGTATTGTCTGTATACAACGGAATAAATAGGTATACTTTCTTCGTCGACATTTAACATCCAGTGACATATTTTACGACACGCTCACAACATCTCATAATAAATATTCCAATTGTAAAACTCACCTTACAAAATTTACCTTTAGCATTTTTTTGCTTGAAAGTTTTTCCAAAAAAATTATAAATTTTGTAGTAACAGTACATTCTAATCTTTGAAACGTTCAAAAAGTGGAACTTTTTGATAATTTTTAGCAACTCCACAACATTTTGGAGTAGTAACAAAGCAGCTCCAAAAGTAAAGCAGTACCCCAAGGCTGGGGAAAGTTGCAAATAATCTTAAAAATTAGATAGTTTTTAATGTAAGTGGATATTTTATCTTTGCCTGATCATCATACTAATTTTCCACTGAATTTGGTTTGGTTTTTATGCCTAGGTCTTCCAGTTAGTAGTACCAATTGTTTTTTGCATTCTGTCTTAAATGGTCAAAAGAAAACGAAAGTTCTGCTTTCCACGCCAGATTCTGAGTTTCGTTTTCGATCACTGCATTAAGGTAGAGCTGACTTTGCAGTACGCCATTACCTTGAGTGATGTCTAAATGACCTTATCCATCTAATACTTTCTGCTTAAACGCCAACACAACAATAACAAATGTGTTTGGTTAGCAAACCATTCATATTCCGTTCAGCATGTCCGACCTCTGTACTTTACGACCTTTTTTCTTCATCACCTCAGGCGACACTTCTATATTTTTAGGTGAAATGGTTCACAATATAGGATTACAAAGTTGAACAGGTAAGCCTAGGTATGTTAGAAAATGTTGTATACTGCATGCAGATCCACCAAACTCATAACCAATTAGCATAAATCGACTCGTAGATATAGTACAAACGCATCACCGCAATAAAACCAGGATTTTAAAATAGACCTGGAGAAATTTGCAAACTAAGCACTGACCTAGCTCCACCTCTTGATAGGT